CGCGATGCCCTACGACGGCTCCTTCGCACGACTTCCAAACGGGCTTACCCGTTCCTTTTGAACTACGGTGCAAAGTCGTCCCTGTAAAGTTGCAGCAGCAGCGGTACCGCCTCGCGCCGACTCTCAGCCGTCTCCCCGTATGGCCGCTCGTAGATTTCGGTACTTCCCCCCGCTTCCTGCCGCCTAGCCGTTTGCTTAATCCTCGCCGGTTACGCTTATTAAAGTCCTGAGAGGTACGACGTGTAAGCCCGTGGAAGCGGTATATACGCGGATGGGGGGCGCGGATAGTTACGAACGCGCGCTGGTTGCACGGCGGCTGGTTTATTGTACGCTTGCACTCGGTTTGTTACGCTGTTTCGTGACGAAGGGTATGGTTTCAGAGGCGCGCACATTGTTGCAACGAGAGTGATCAATTATCTCGCGACTTTGCGCGCAAAGAACAAATATCCTGCATATAAATAATATTTTTTTTCTCTCTTTTGTTTTATTTATGATTCACAGATTCATGTCATTTCCACCGTGAAACCGCAATAATCACCTTGCGTAAAAAAGACTCTTTAAATCGATTATTATCCGCTTAAATTTAATTTGTCACTTTATAAATCAATCAATATATCATAATCAATAATTGTTAAATCATATATCTATATTTTTTCTATTAATTTCACACAAATAATATTGTTCGATATAACAGCTCTTCAGTTCGACATCTTAGCATTGATATATTTTAGCGCTTTAACTGCCAGGCGATTTTCGAATTTTTCTACGACACGATCGAACAGTTTCGCGAAGTTTGTTTTATGAGTCTTAAGTGGGTCGATTGAACCGGTGTAAAGTTTTGAGAGTCCGGAAGAAGGAGAATTAGCCAACTTCCTTTTATCTGCGTGAATTATCGCTTCTATGGATTGTCTCTTTTGGCATTTACGTTCGCATTGTAAAATAATGCTATGTTTTTATCTTTTAATGTTTTACGATATTCCATTGATACGTATACTTCGCGTGATGTAAATTTCATTTTGCTCTTTTATCCCACTTACATGATGTTATCTCTATAAATATTTTTTCACATAGACGTCGATGCACGATACGATTCTTATGAACTATCTTCATTTCTTTTTGTTCCACTATGCACCCATGCTTATCTTTTTCGTAGCTCTTCTTTTATTTACTCTATGTTTCGCAGCACGGCTTGTTGCAACCGTTAGTTTCTTTACGCTTATTGAGTCGTAAATAACATCATATTTTCTTTATCGAAACGCTATTGCAAAAAAGCTCAAAAATCCAAATATTCGTTCTGGAATTTTTTGCTTTTCTTGTAGTAATGGTTTTCAACCGACAAGCTCCGAGGATACGTTGGATTGAATTTACATGGGACAGAATTGATATAAAGTATTTTTAATTCACGTCACTGGTGTAATATTTTAATAGAAAGGAAAAAAAAAGCGAAAATCATATTATATTAGTGATTTTACTTTGAGAGACGGAAGTTTCTCGTATTATTTCGTGAATACAAAAATTCTATGAAATTAACAAATAAGAAGGATTAGAACAATTGTATTTTTATTCACGCGATGAAACCATGTTTTTCATAACTGATCATGCTATTCACTATGGACTTCTCATGACATGAGTATTTGCTCCCGAGACGCACGGATAATCGGATACTTTTTGCGACTTATTTTCCGACTTTGAGTTCAGTGACGGACAGCATCGGGATATACAACAGTTCGGGAAGTGAAATGTATTATGGATGTAACCGGGGAAAAAACATTCTCGCGCGAAAGCTGCTGATGAATTTTCTACGCACGCGGGGATATAAAACCGTGAGTCACCCCAACGAAAATTTCTAAGTCGCCTGCCGTGGAAATTATTACTGACAGTTATCTGGCAACTGTGCATCACTGCCACTCGGCGAGTCCTACGGTCGGCTCATTCCTCCTCTTTCGCGCTTCCAGATATTCCTCTAGACTGCAATATCAGACAATACGAGAAAACAGAACTTGGAATACGTAAAAAATTGTTAGCGGTGTGCATGATGCGAAGGATGATTTCTCTCAGCCCCCTTTAAGGAATATCTAAACCACTCCCCATCCTCTCACCGGGCGCCGCAAAGCTTTAGGTATTATAAGTCTTAATTAACATCAGAAGAGCCTGTGGTAAAATAACTCGAACATCAGTTCATTGCATATATCTCTGTAATCCAGACATATCGTTGATCGTATTAAAAATAACAAGCAAAAATTGGAATTTACATTACTGGTAAAATATTTTCATAAAAAAGAAGCAAGAGTTATATTATAGATTTGTGATTTTACTTTAGAACAAAAACAAAATTTTATCACATATTATTTCATAAATATAAATTTTTAAAAATTAAAAAAATTAGAATAAAAAAGTAAAATTCGAACTAAAGTACTTAACTTAAAATGTAGAAAAGATTTTTATCCAGCAAATATTCATACATTGCAAAATGTATTATTAACGTTTTATGTATCTATTGCAAATTTAGATTTTCTCTTTTTCTTAATAAAAAATTAGAAAACGTTTCTTAAAAAAGAAATATTTTTTTAATTGCAGTTCAAATATAAATGTATCGGCTCTTCTCGTGTTAACTACACAAAGTTGCTTTCTTATTACGTTTCGATCGATACGATGTGCTGTATATTTTTCGTAAAATAATAAAAGTTGAACGCGATTGCAAGGAAGAGGCGTTAGTTTGGTTCATATGAATTCCGATGTTCCAGGACCACCACGGTCCTGGCGAGAATACCTCGCGAGGCGGAAATGTGCTTTAAGAAATTACTGGGGTACGAAATGTGCTTGCGCGCTTCTCGATGAGTGTTTAAGCAGCAAGTTAAACAAACTGCATTGTCTTCGTTAATAAGCGAAATCGATTCAACTTGTACATTAAGAGAAAAAAAGTTGCCGCGTTGTTAAATGGGACAATCGTTTCGTGTGCGAACGAATTCGGCGTCACGCGAGTCGCTATCTCGCAGACGAGATGCTGCTCGTGTGAGCAAACGTTCGACTGTTGACAATGTATACCAAACGTAAGAGCTACCTTCCTGTATAAACAATAACTGCGAAGTCGTAGTGGTGTTCGATATGATTTTTCGACGGCGTCTTTCTTTCCCCGACGCGCGACGTATAGCGCTCGTGTAATTTTGTATAACTGTATGAATATGCGCGATCGATCACTTCGGTGAACGAAGATTGATTAATGACGAGTGACGCGGATTGTATAAATATAATCATGTAAGAAGTTAGTGGAGAGAGTAATTCTGTAAATAACTGTGAACATACTGTAACCAAGTATCACGGCGGAATAAAAACGAAGCTTCGTGTCGCATATGAAGCTGCCAATAAAGTGTTACCTTGTATATATTATTGCGCAAATCCATTTGTATTTTTATCCTTACTTCTACTATTGTTAATAATATCACTGTGTTCCAGATTCTTTTGTCTTGAAATCGCACAATTACGTTCCCGTAGATAATCCCGACAGAAATCTTATACTTTATTAATTACATTTAACTTGTTATCTTCTTTTGTCACATATTTTAGCTCTTTCGCGACGTCTTGCATATCAGAGAAGATTCAAATTTTAAGGTAAGGTAAAATGTTTAAAATTTGACATATTGACATGCATTCTGATATCTTTTAAAAATAAAAGTTTTAGTAATATAAATTATCAGTTTTAAAATGTCATCACAAAGTTAAAACAATGAAATGTTGTAATTTTAAAAAACTTTCTGATAATAGTAAAATAATATACAATGGAAATTTGTATTAGTTTTGTCGATACGAATCATAAATAATTAGCCAAAGTGATGGAGCACATCTAGTAAAATATTAAGATGCTGCATAGCGATTTATCTCAAATGCATGTGTTGATAATTTAATATACTCCCGGAATTTAATATTGCGTATACGTGCTCGTAAAGTCAAGCGGAAGAAGAATTCGGGATCTGCAGATCGACAAAGAGGTTTGAGCGCGAATTCTTTCCGAATCGCGGAAGCTGTGAGAAGAGCTCGCCTGGAACTTCTGTTCGTTAATCTAAAAGAGTTCACTTTCTTATCAAGCTAAGTAATATGTTCTACGATACTTTGCGTAAGATATAGTGAAATCTCACATCAAAGTTAGTAAACGATCGATTTGTTCAGTGTCGATTTTCGATAAGAGATTTGATTTCAAAATCTTAAGAAAAATTGTTAGACTCATATTTGAACATAAATTATCGATATTTTTATAAAGTGTGTAATTTTTTAATGCAATATCTGATCCTGTCTTTACAATAATTTATTGTGTAACAGAGGCAGAATATGAAATATTATATTCAAAAATGTATTTTATTGTAAGTATCGATATTGTATAATGATAACTTTTACACACATTGCCTGATTGAAATTAAATATCCACTTTTAAATATATAAAATGTGCAAATATGCGAATAAAAAGAGAAAATGTTTTCCCATCATATTACTTCTATTTCTATATGCACACTGTGTTTGGTCGTCATTTATTAGTAAATTGAAATTTTCATTTCGATAGACTGCGTCTTTTTTCGTACCTATAAAATATCAATCTCATTGCAATACAGAAAAATGATGTCCGTTATAAATAATTTTTTAATGTCAATTGTTTCATGATTTTTATCACTATTGAAATATGAAAGTATAATTATAGAAACGAAACGGTAACGGTATTGTTATTAAAGTAAAATGTACATTTACTGAAATATTCATTTTTATGCTTTGAAATCGTCTATAGTAACATTTGATAGGCCTAGCACTTTACTGCGAAACATTAAAATCTTATATTTTAGAATTCTGGACCATTTCTTTCTTCAAAATATAAGATTTCAATACATCGCAGTAAAGAAAATGTACATTCTAAAGTTTTAGGTCTACCAAATGTTTTGATATAAAATTCTAAAACATAAAAATGAATAAAATGTACATCAATATATATTAAAATGGTTCGGAAATGGTCCAGAATGTTAAAATATACATTTTATTCAATTTTAAGCACTGGAATTTGATACTATAAAATTTGGTAAACTTAGTATTTAAAAATTCACATTTTCTTTATTGGGCTTCTGCATTTCGGGCATCTTTATATTGAAAAACAAAAAGTAATCTAAAAAGCAAAGTAAACAAAAAAAACAACGTATTAAAATATCACAAATGACATTATTAGAAATAATTCTCTGTAACGTGACATTTTGCAAGCATTAGAATCGTCGAGAATAGCGTTTTATTCGTTGATTTATATATGTTTTAGACTGCGGTTTTTTTGCGCATTGCATATTAAAAAAAAATGACACAATATTACTTTCGAATATTTACGTCAAATACAAGTCGTCTCGACTGTACTTTGAAAATATGTCCAGCGAGAGTGGACGAAAGTACACATGCACTGTGGTCGGTTATTTGGATTTCGACGCGACGACGGGCGGGAAAGGCGGGATGGGAGGGAGTTACGGGTCAAATGGAAAAATTCGTTCGATATTATTTCAAACTTCTTTGAAACATAGGTAGATATGCCAGGCTCGCTTTTGGTCTCTCACGCACGTGCGGCGTAGGGTAACAGTCAAACACTTGGCACCAGCCGGCGCCGGGTATGTGACATGAATATTTGTTTCTAATAAGATATGCTGCTTCGCCAGCGCCATTTGACGCAACTCTCGCCGAGCTTACGTTACAACTATCGTTGGCAAGACGGGATCTGATTCCTGCGATCGATTTTTCTATCATACATGTAAAGCGGACGTAATTGAATATTGAAGTTATATGGCAAGGATTTTAATTTGATACTTTTAGCCAAATCGTTTTTAAAATTATTATAAAATTATCTTCACAGATCAATATAAACGTATAAAAAATATAAAGCAAGGAAAAATAATTGCAAAAATGCCAAACTAAAAAAAAATTTAAAAATATAAAAAATATAAAGAATAAAAACTGAAAAAAAATTTATTTGTTAATTTAAAAATATTTTAACTTTTAAGATGTGATTTTTAAGAGTGTTGAAGACATTGCATAAACTCGATTTTGCTTTACTGCAATTTTTTCCATCATTTGGAAACTGAATATTTATTACACAGTAGCAATAATCATTGCACCATTATGAATATCGATTCCTGTTTAATAAATTTTTCATTGCATTGGTTTATATTTTTTACAGTATTCAATAAATTTGGAACGGGATATGCGCTATAAGATGCGCAGTTCCGCAGTAGTGCTGGAAGCAAATCATGTAAATTTCGCCGCGCTTACATTACAACATCAACTAGGAAATAGGCTCCGGTTTCCTTACCGGATTTCGATTACGCAGACGAAGCAGCAGAGTTCATCTTGCAATATTAATTGTATTGATTCAGGCTTTAATCGTTTGCTTTTCCATCAAATAAACTCGATGTCTCTACTTTTTAATGTAGCAATCATTATTTAATAAAAATGTTATACTGATGTGTGTGTGATTGTTATTTCTTTTAAAAAAGCAAGCTATTTTTTAATATAGGATTTTTTAAACAGTTTTACATTATACACGAAAAATAAATCATAATTGATCAATTTACGTATATAAGAAATTTCGCAAATATATTTTTAATAAATAACATTAAGCAATAATATTGTTTCGTGCGCATCGATTCTTCGAGCCAACTCATAAGATGATTATCCCGTAGACCTGGAAATTCACGAAATTCTACGCACATAGTTTCCCTTATAGCGTACACTCCGAGGAATTTCCCTTCGAGGCATCGACCGGAAATGCTAACAATTGGCGTGCTAGCAACAACGAGAACTAATAATCTCGATCGAATCTTCCGACTGACACCCGGAATGTTTAATTAAGATTGCTGAATAAACCAGTACATATTGCATCTACATATTAGTTACTGTAATTTCTGTTGCAAGAATAGATTATCGACTCACCCCATTCATCATTAAGTAAAGTTTTCATAAACGATGTAGTTGAAATAACTTTTAGATTTTATCACACTGTAACAAGAATAAATCATATATAAATGAATAAATAAATGTGCACAAGTGCACAGATAAACTCAACGAGCCTCTCAAGTCTCGCTCAATTTAGCTTTTTGTCGAAACCATCAGCCGATGTCATCTAACAGCGAAATCGTCGGCGGATCAGCAAGTAGACAAGGCACGTAATTCGGCCTGGAAATTCGCGCAGCGTTTATTTGCGACGTCGCGGCTTTGCTATGTCGTCGAACCACTTCCATCTCGGATTAGCCAGACGCTCTCTGCTCAGGTGACGAAAGGAGATATCACGAGCCTTTTATGAGGACTCTTCACGTCGCATTAACGACGAGATGGATCACGTCCCTCCGCGCTCGTAAAGTAATGCGCACCGGACTTTGTTTAGGTCCTTTTCCGCGAAAGTACACGTAAGCCGTTCCGTGTCTCTCTGCCTCTCTCTGTTTTTCTACCTTTACCTCCCCCCTCTATCGTGCTCTTTATTTCAACCTCTCTTCTCCTCCCCCCCCTCCCTCTGCGGACGGTTTTCCACGTTTCTCTTTCTCTTTTTTTTATTTATATGTCCCCCCTTTATAGGAGAACAGTCCTCGCGCGTCTGACTATCGTCGTTCGGCAGGGTCGTCACGGTCGACGGTGGCAAATTGCATCCAGACCCTTTTCCTTTTCTCGGTGTTGCGCATGCGATGGGTTCGGCATCCCTCGAGCGACACGTACGCGAATCCTCGACTCATTTTCCCGATTTGATTAACCCGCAAAAATAAAGAAGAATCTCGAACAGCAATCGTTAGAACGGTATATATATGCAAAGATAAATTTGAAAAGTTTGAATTTTGTTTTCAGAGTACGTGTTTTCTAACAATAAATGTTACATATCACATTGGAGTAATATATAAACTAGTTTATAAAGTTTAATTTATCGAGGAAATTTGTATAGTAACAAAATAAAATGTTTGTAGATAAGTGATAAAGTTTTACCAATTATGAAATATTATGATTTTATAATTTCAGAATATAAATGTTTTTCTTCTTCGTCTCGTAGAAATAACTCTAAAAAAATGACTACATATGTAATAATACAATCAAAATTGATCACAAATTGTTAATAAAACGTTTAGAATACTTGAAAGACTCTTTCAAAACTCAATAATCAAATTTACTTCAATTTTGTAATCATAAAATAGATAAGTGATCCCGTGATACATTTTATCTGTTTATAGTTTACTGTAAAACATTTCATAAAGTAAACATGTGCTCATTCCTAATTTATTATGCTATACGTAAAATATAAATATCTCTACATTGAACATTTCTGTACAAGTATTTGCAGCAAAATTAGGTCAGAAATATCGACAAACTATTTGATTCTAAAAAGATGTTTCGGAATCAATACCAGCTTATTATATTTTTACAAGGAGAGAGATTAGATAGATAGATAGATAGATAGATAGATAGATAGATAGATAGATAGAAAGAGAGAGAGAGAAAGAAGATTTCGTAATTTTTTTATTTACATTCCGTCGCTCGATGACCCGATTTATTTCCCGTACTATGTCCGTTATGCTTCTTTTATCGATGGATCAATGCATGTCACAATTTTCTTTTTCTTGTTCCAGTTTTCTCAATTCTACCGGGAAATGCAGAATAATCAAATGGTAATATGTCCGTAATTATTAAGCAGCAGATTGAAAAGACCATCTCTCATCTCTCGTTAGACATTAAATGCGTCGCATTTTCAACAAAAAGAACAAAAAAAAAAAAAACAAAAACGGAATGACAACTTACGCTTTTTGGTCCCTCGTAGTTTCGCTGTATTTATATATCGTTCTTTGTAATCACTTCTACGCGTGCGACGAATTTTTTCTTCCTCTCTCGTTTTGTCCACCTGGAACACGCCAAAAGTACAAATCGACTCGGTTAGTAATTACGGAAAAAATATCTCTCGATTCGCAAGCTAATGTTGTCTTTCATTTCGTTCTCGGTTTGATGCAAAACGCATAAATAAATAATAGAATCTTGCTTTTTCTATTTAATTCAAAGAGATTTTACAGTTTATTTAAATTTTAATATCAAGCTCGACTATTCATCACATCAAATATGAAAAATATAAATAAATAATTAATATTTATATTACTTAATACTTTACATACGCTTTACTTGTTTAAAAAAGATGCCTGATTCTCTAAATTAAAAATAACGAGTCGTAAACTGCTGTATATATTAATAAGCACGACATTCGTGACTCCATTTTTCTCCATTTTAAAGAAGTAAGGGTCGCTTTTCCAGAAGAATCTTCAATTAGTATCTAATTATATCTCAAGTCCGCGTGTCTTCAGTATTGTACGACAATAACTCGCTTGAATATTGATTTTCAATGGCGATCGATTTTCGACGGGAATGCTTGATATAAGACTATTAAATAAATCATTGGTACAAGTGCCGGGACACGACAAGACGCGACGTCGCCTGTCGTTTCAACGACAGTGGACCGCATTTGACGCGCAGTCGTCCGCAGTCGCAAATTCTCTACTCACTCTTGGAGTTTGATTAACTCCGGCGAGCAGAGCACGTTGAAATGCGGACGATTATTACCACGAGAATATCTCATCCGCCAACGAGGTCCGTCTTTCAAATTTCCATTCCGTTGTTGCCCGCCGGCTAAAATTATCCTTCTAACTCTAACGGTTTACAGGGCCCAATGCAAATTTCGCGCGAAAATTTGGAGGTTCCGGTGTTACAAAGATAACAATTATAATAAAGGAATTTTGATTCTTAATTTGCGATGTTACTGTCTGCACTCATTGATCTACATTTTTCGATTAAGTTAAAAATGACAATAATTAAACAAAAACTGTTGAAAAAAAAAAAATTTTTAAATTCGAGTTTATAAATAAAATAGAAATAAATTATAAAATATGAGATGTAAACAAAATACAAACAAAAAAATAATTTTAAAAAATATAAAAAGTGATGACAAATGAACATTGTCAGTTTAATATCAAACAATAAGTTTAAAATTAAATAGTACGCTGCGCCAACACAAAGTCAAGGCAAATCCCTATTTAATTTCTCTGAACAGTCGCAACGTGTCACAGCAATTTTTAATTAACTACGTCTTGTCTTTTGTTGATCAGAGTCTTCATCGCAATCTCGTAACTCTCGGCAAAGAGTTCTAAAAGGGCTTTAAGAAGAAGAAGAACGCGATAATATACGATCCATTTCTACGTGTTGACGACATGATAATCGACTGTCGATTGGCTGTCACGATTGACGCGATAAATTGCATCTCGACCTTCTTTTCTTTCCGATTGGTATGCTGACCGCTTGTGATACGTCCACTTCTAGAACGGATATGACTTCTGATATCTGGACATAGCATTTTAATTAATAAAATCGATCGTAATGAATAATCCGGCTGTCGATAGAACGACGTTTAACATTCGCTGGAAAAGGGTAGAATTCACGAAAAAATGCAAGGATCGCAAATGCACGAATAAATTGGCACGCATATAAACGTTATGAACGTCACAACAATACTATGGAATTTTTATAGCCATAAATATTTAGCGTTACTATTTTAAGACTCCGTTTTCAACCGACAATGTGACGCGAATTTCTACGTGTGTGAACTCAACATCTTTCTTGCTAGTGAACCAGCACTCGGTGATAAGACGATTTCGTTCGCACGCAGAGAAAAGTAATCCTGAGTTATGCGCCTTGCCATCCTCACTTCTCAAGGACGACCTATTTCGATACAGTTAGTGAAAAATGACACACGAGAAGCACTTTGTAACCAGTGAATAAAATTTCACTTTGCAACATAGAAAGATACTAATTTGATCGCATTTTGCCACTCGTAAAAAGTGCATAGAAAAAGAAATAAATAAATTTGGAGAGCCGCGCCGGATTATCAACAATGATAAGCAAAAAAGAGAATCGGAACATGTAGAAGAAGAAGAAGAAGAAGAAAAAGATAGAAAAAGGGGAGGAAAAAAAGAAGAAGATGCACAGAGCGTCATTATTATGAATGAGATTTACACTGGCTGACAGACGGCCGAATATTTCAGTAGGTAAACCAATATATCCTCGCTTGTGCGCGCACCCCCCTTCCGTACATGCATGCAAATAGAGCAGGTTGGCCAGTACGTGGCAAATATTTGTTTAGACTTTTCGCCGACGTGCCGGCTCGGGATTGCATCGACGGCAAAGGCGAAAGACTCTCTCCGTCGCCTGCCGGAAATTCGCGCCAGTTTTAATATCGCATCTTGTATTTATATGACATTTATTATAATATAGAAGTACGCGCGGAGATGGCATCGCGATGTGAAGTGCCGTTTACAATTGAGAAAGAAACGGTTTTGCAAAATGCTACGCTGTTTGAAATACCCACCGGATATCCATATTTATATCGAAAATAATATCGATCTAAAATGTAATAACAAAAATATAGCGGTAGTATAGCAGAGATTATATTAGAAGCAATTGAAAAACTATTTTACATGAAATGCTTTATCGTCGAAACTCTATTTACGTAGTGCAAGTTGCATAAATTGTGAAAAAACAAAAATAGAGATTGCAATTGCAAATTACTTAGCATGGTAAAATAATATCATTAGATTATTATAACACAATTATGCTAGTCTCCGTAATAGAATTATCTTTATAATATTTTTAAATAACGGCATATATCAGAAATGTAATATTAAATTGTTACAGTGCAATTCACATATTTTTAGCTAACGGTGGAAATTCTTGACTGTGCTATTAAAGTCCTAGTGCCAATAACGTTCTGCATCGTTATATCCTGCATCTGCATAGTGCTTGCAGTAAAGAAAATTTAACTAACAAATATAAGTAAAGTGAAATGTGTCAAGTTTTTATATCGCAGAAATAATGTACAATTTTTTTTTGACTAAAATAAAAGTAGGAAGCAAATGTATTAAATATATGATTCTATTTAAACAAATTTGAGTAATAATATTGATTTTAATATTATTTATTTTGAGAAAAAATGGTATTTCAGATTATAAAAAAAGTGAGTATTTTTATTTGCGAATTTCTTTACGACGACAAGTGAAGTTTGTGCAAACGATTTTATCTCTCTTGTATACTCGTTATCACGTGACGCATCGAGTTGCTATCGTCTTTTTATTTTGTAGCAATCATGCGGAGAGAACGAACAATTACTAAACTCACGGCGCCGACAAGAGTCTCTTCGTACTCAGCAATTTCCACGTGTCGCGTTTTTTTTATTACGTTGAAGATTATCGACATAACAAACAGCGAGCTTGTTAAATTTTAACCGATGTACATTCGAAGTATTGTCAATATTGCTTAGTCATGAATATTTATCTCAATTGCATATTACGAAATATTAATTAATGAATTAAAGCAACAAGAAATTACAAACAAAAAGGTACTTTTGTATTCTAAATAATAAAAATGACAATTTAAAAATGATAAAAATTGGAATAATACAAATCATAAATTATATTTTTGTCTTCTACATAATAAAACATTTGAAGCATTGTTATTATTTATTATAGACCGTGTAATTATTTCACAACAAAATGGAATAAGTAATAATCAACCTTACAGTTTCAAGTACGTGTATATCGGCTTTCTGCACAAATTTCGCGGTTTCAAGTTAAGTTTCTGTTTGGCGTGTGCATTATCCGCACTCCAGTCATGAGAGAGTGTTGTTTACATTACGTGCGATAATATCGATAATGACGTACACTATATTAGCAATATAATTACCCTACTTGCTGTACCAAGCATCCACAGAATCGTTACTTTAAGAATCATTGTTCACACATAATAAACAATAGAAAAACGAAGGAAAAACGTTAGAAAGTTGTTTCGTTGTTTCTTTTTCCAGCGATAGATGTGCTTAAACATTTTATAAATATTTTACGGAATACTTGATGTAAAAAAGATCCAACAAATGGTTTAAATTTCACGAAAAATCCACAAGCCGTTTTTAATTGAATAGTGATTTGCAAACAAATGACATAACATAACGGCGGAAAAGACACTTTTTATCTCTCTTTCTAGATTGGAGAATAATCGGAAGTTATCGATTGACGCGACGGAATCGGAATATCCGGGAGACGAATGCACAGTTGGAATTGAGAGTCCGGCGAGCAAAGTGAGAACGGCAAGCGCAAACCCAAAGAAGAGGAGGACGCACTCGAGAAGTGAAAGAAAATGATCGAGGAGGGCTCATTGATGCCGCGGCACAATGGACGGAGTTCACTTTCTTCGACGAGCCTCGTTAATCAGCATCGCGCACCGATTTCGCGCGGGAGAGAAAGGGAAGTGTGCTGCAACCTCTTATATATTACCCATTAACACGTCTAATAGTTGCCATGGTTACCATGAGAACTGGTATTACAGCACTGATACGTCCAATTAGTTTACGGTAACGCATAATCCTATAGTCCGACGTTCAATTCTTTCTTCCATCGCACTAAATATTTTCAATAATAAAGAAAGGGAAACAAATTTTGTACTCAAAATCTAATTTACATTTATATATAAAACATATATAATATATTAATATTTACGGTACTTTACTGGTCTCAACTCGATGTACTCGATATTATCAGTTTCTATTTTTGAAGCAAAATTATTGTTTCGGAGTAAAAATTGTACGGAGGTTATTTGTCGCCCGCTGTTTTGTCACCTGCAGATTCTCGCAAGTAGTTACGATATTAAAATCAATATTCCAATCCCTTCGCACTTGTATACATATATCTATTCACATGGATTTTTCGAGATCGATGCGAACATTACCAGGGCATAAACGCTTTTCAAAATTGATCGACAGGATCGCGAGCAGACGAAGGTCGGAAGCGGGAAAAGATTGATGATTTCGCGGCG